CTGCTTGTTGAAGTGCTAGTGGATGATGAACTCGTGCTGGAGGAGGAGCTGGAGGAAGTGCTAGTAGACGTGCTTGATGTTGTTGTGCTGGTGCTTGACGAAGTCAAACTAGTGCTCGTGGTGGTGGAGACTGTGCTAGATGATGTGACTGTTGTGGTCGTTGCTCCCTGTAATCGCCTGCCGAACTCGTAGATGCCATCCTGCGATGTTATAGCAGGATTTGCAGTTTCAAGATGTGGGGCGACATCAGGAGTGCAATGCGAATATACTGGAGCTTGTAGAGAACTACATTATCCTTCACGGGGCCCCACAAGTTTCTTGTCGGCCCGTAACAGACCTTTCCCACATAGCAGTAGTTGAGGCCTGTTCCAGCCAGTGCTTTCTTCCATCACACGCCAAGCTACCAAAGGCTGGAAAGCCCAGGGATGGAGAAGTCTGGGTGCATATGAACAGGCCTTTATGAGTGCGACTACATACTGCTGTTACTCCTAAAGCTGCTTCTGCTAAAGCTGCTGCTACTAAAGCTGCTGCCAAAGCTGCAGCTGCACTTCTGCTGCCAGCCACTGCTGCAAAGATACATCACAGCTACGAAGCTACACTGTTGCCATCAATGCTTCTGCCACTACCCCTCTGGCATTCTGCATGCTGTGCACATGACACACTGGTTTTCACCGTTCTCAATCTCTCTCTCTCTCTCTCTGTCCCCGGCATGCAGACGCAGAGCCTCCGCTGCACTGCGCCGGATCCCAAGGTAACGTGCTCAATGTTGAACTAACACTTTGACTCTTCATTCTAGTAATACAGCTGCAGCAGCAGCAGGAGAAATTGTACGAAGTGCAGGGAAGCAGCAATAACCAGCACTGCAGTTGTTCTTGAGGGGTTCTGAAAAATTCGTAGAACCCGTAGTAAGAACCCTATGATCACGTCGTGATCTCCATACTCCTCTATTTTGGGAAGCGTCAGCATGCTGCACCGCGCTCCTGGTCTGCTGGGTAATACTGGGCGCGCGGAAGCAAGCCCAAACCCTGCAGTTGCCATCTTTCCCTTGCCGTGTCCTGCGGTAGGCTTCTGCTGTGTCACAAGGACTGCATGACCATGTCTTGAAACAGGGCTCCCGTTTAAATTGCACAAGAATAACAGCCGTTCACTAGGACGCCCCGGAGCGATTCATGCCTCATGATACCAGCAGCAAAACTCGATCCAGGGAGGTGAAGCGGTCCCTGGAAATCTAAGGATGTGTCTGCCGGCAACACACTGCGTTTTGATGATGCATGCATGGGGCAGCCTCATGCGCAAGCCGTTGGGGAGTTCCTCAAAATGAGCTATCATGACCCCAAACAAGTCCATACGATCCCCTCAAGGATTTTCTTAGGGCAACCTCCACATTTTGTAAGTTCTCTTCATCTGTTTCACGGAAAGCTCTGATGGAGTTGGTTCATGAGTCTTGGGGCTTGGGGTCAACGAGCATTTTGGGCACCAGCTTGTGGGTTTTGCGTTTCGGTTCTTAAGGTCTTGAGCCTAGGGTGCTACCTTCTCTCGCAAGGCAAGGACCCCCCAAAAACACAGAAAGCAGAGAAACCCTCAGAACCTGAGCCCTTGAGCCCTAATCCTGTACACCCCCTTGCCTCCTGCATATACCCCTCATAATTGTCACAAAACGGACGTGCAAAGCTGAGAAACCACACACGGGAATGGGCTGGAAACCATACAGCCGGCATCCCATACAAGTAGCCAGGGCTCGGCAGAAGCTGATCTTACTCATGATAGTTGGGACTGGAGTGATGGATTAGGAGACTACTCTTGTGGATTGCATAGCGATGACGCACGGAATCCATTTCCCCAACCCAAACCCCAAACAACCTCAAACCCTAAACCCAAATCCCCAAAACTTAAACCCGAAGCCCTACTTCCCAAACCCTAAACCCTAAACGCCAAACCCTAAGCCCTAAACCGCGTGTAAGTAGTGAAGCTCCTCATTGCCGGTCTCCTGGGCACAGGCTTGCCCAGCTTGCAAGGCTTAAGGATTGGGCAAACCACTGCCCACCCCCTAGGGTTTAGGGTTTAAGGTTTAGGGTTTAGGGTTTAGGGTCTGATGTATTTGTGCCCATAGCATACCCCGTTCATACATCGTGCTTCTTGAAATTCGGGGGAGGTAATTCATACATATAGATATGGGAGTCTCCATAATGGGCAACACCCAGATCTAGAGTCCAACACCATAATCCACCGCTCTAGTGTCCTTATTCTAGCTACCCCCAAAAGGAGAACAAGTAATTTTTGGAAAAACTTCGTACACATAGATACAAGGTGATTGGCAAAAGCCCTCAAACCCTAAACCCCTAAACCCTAAATCCTAAACCCTAAGTCCTTTACCCCTAAACCCTGAACGTCTAAACCCTCAAACCCCTAAACCCTAAACCCCTTCAACCTAGACCCTCAGCCCCTAAACCTTGAACCCCTAAACCCCTCAACCCCTTTCAACCCCTAAGCTGCCAGGCTGCCCGGATCACTGCCCAGACTATGCTGAGCAATACAACGAGAGGAAAGGCCCAGTCGCGGAGCTGCCGAGAGGGGGGGAAGGGGGGTTTAGGGTTAGGGGTCACAAGGATTTAGGGGGGAGGAGGGGGGTTTAGGGTTTAGGGGTCTCAAGGACTTCGGGGATTGAGTAAGGTAGAATGGGGGCAGGTTTTTTTTAAGAATTTGGGTGCCAGGATGCTAGGGTGTAGACCCTGTATAGGCTGCCTCTTCGGAGTCTGGAGTCCAGCACTTTGTGTTGAGGGCCCCCAGAACTTCTTAAGTTGAAGGTTGTAGTTTTAGGGTGCACTTGGGAGCATTGGTCTACCAAACAGGGTTCCGACCTTAAAAAAAGACGAACCAAGGGATTTGCGGTCCACCAACCCTAAACCCTAAACCCTAAACGATACTAGTTGCCAGTCTCCATGGCTCGGATCTGAAACGACTAAATGTCAGGAAGGCCTACCCGGTTGATGATGTTTTGGGCTCAAGGTTTCAAAGTTGTTGTTATGAGCTACCTAATAGCCGGCATCGAGGCTTTCCTGGCTCACCTTTCAAGATTTGGGAACCCCAGATGTAGGAGCCCCAGTCCTCTAAGGACCCGTACTAATGCTATTGAAGGGAAACCCCCACAGCTTCCGCTCAGAGTCAAAGAGCTGCTTTTTCATGGGTATCTGGATTGTCGGATGATGAAAAATATGAGTGCAACTACTTGTGCAATTTTGCCATACTGATGTAGCCCCATGAGCAACTGCCTATACACCTCCCAATTAAGCTTTGGCTTCAGGGACACTACTCCATCAGGGAAAGTGGTGATTTCATGCTGAAGGGGTTTGGGTGCCAACTTTCCCTGAGACAGGGTAAATTGCTAGGGGACCCCCCAAATAAGGACCCCTAGGGGTTGCTCGCAGGTGTCCTATCTGGTGTGCCCTGGGGATCTGTCTGATGAAGTCAATCCAAAAAACATGTCGCGCCATACTGCCATCTTCCTGGCGGTACAGCCGTATGCACTACAACAATCTCACCCTAAGCCCTAAAAACCACTGAAGCCTAGCACAAAAAGCCCAAAAGATTTGAAATTGTTCAGAAAATCCTAAATTCTGTGTACAGACCCCCTCAATCAGACCCCCCAACAGGCTGTCGGCTCCCCTCACTTTACTGTGTAGGGTTATATAAAGGGATGTCTAGGATAGGATTTAGGATGAAGGGATGGAGGGTAGCAACATGAACCTCGTTTAGGGGTTTAGTGCAAAACTCTCCGGCCTTCATTGCTAAGGAGAGGCACAGGTGCAAGCAGCACTCGGGTGGTGAGCTGCACTCTGCATTCCCTGCTTGAAGATCCCCTGTGAACACACCTGATGCTGATACGGATCAGATGGCTGCAACATGAGCTATAATCTAACCGCCTGGTATCCCCCTTAAAAAGCCCTGCAATACTCCCCTATATGATCCATATGTAACCCCCTATAAAAGGGGTTTAGACTACAGTGCTTCCGATCTTCTTACTACAAAATGGCAAGGCATGTCGGTGGACCGTGCACATTTGAACGGGTGCTGGTTACAAAACCCAAGAAGCTTCCATGTGCTTCCGGTCTTTTGTGATGAACTGATACTAAACCACGGACATGAGCCTGTGAGCCGAGGGAAGGTCCACGAAGATCAGGTCCCTTTTTGGGAAGCTGCTTAGGGCCCATATGAGTTGTACATGATACGTACTGGGGAGGTAGGGGGAAGGTAGGGGACAATTGGCCTTTGTAGAAGATGTTTTGGGAAACCTGCTGCGGCGTTGTTGCCACGAGCTGAATCAATGATTCACAGCAGCAGGTCCTAGTGAAAGTCTCGCCTTTCGGGAGCTGATCACTGTCCTGAATTACCCAGAACTTCCAAAACGTCTCAGGTGATGAGTCACTAAAACAGGAAGCTTTGGCTGACATGGAGTGTGCCACAGTCAAGGGCTTTTTGGGAAGTTCTGGGTACTAAGGGAACCAAACAGGCATACACACCTGTTGTAAGCATATTCCAGCTATGCGGGCTTTCAGTACTAAGATTATAGTCCCCCTTAAGTAGATAGAATATGGCTTTGGGTATATTATAATAAGATCCCCATATAGCCCATATTCTATCTACTTAAGGGGGACTATAGCTGTTGTCCCTTCTTTGGTTCCCTGTACTGCCACACTCTGCAAGCTTCAAATCCGGACAGGCTCATGCAAGCTGCACAGTTGACAGAACCTGTCCACTGCAGGCGCTCTTCCAGCAAACTTTATCAAAAGCTTCGGAAGACCCTCGAAAGCCGAGGGGGCGGGAAAAGGTCTGCAACTTGGCCACAGATTCTTATCAATCGCCATGCGTGCTTTCAGTATGAGTAATGCCGCTGGGTCAGAGAACATACTGGACCTTCTCCCCTGCCTCGCCACTAGATCATTCTGTCACGCGCATGCGCCCTCACGACTGCACGTCGAACTTCAAGCATCAGGCAGAGTGCATCAGGATGTATGTCTAGTCTTGTAAGCATCAATACACCCCATGCATACATAATGGGTGCCACCACCACATCGGTAGCCGTCAGACAGCCGATAGTGGCAAATGCCGCAGTTCTCATCTGGCGGATTTGCAACCTGACGATGCTGCAAAACCCTGTTCAGCCTGCTGAAGCGTGCCGGCGCATGACTAAAAAATGCGTGCTCGGTTCATGAAAGACATCCTGCAAAGCCCTTCAAGTCTCGAAAAATGGAAGACTTGAAGATTGACTCTAGTCAAGTTGCTTGGGGAGCGGAGCCCTAATTGCAAGAACCTGCCCCCCAAAAAAACGACCCTCCAAAAACGAGTTCTTGGGTCCCTGCTGATTTCAAGATTCTACACTGGTCCTTGACTCTGAAGTAGGCCCTCCAAACATGAAGCCTTGCGTCTTCAAGACCCTCACGAACCCTCAACCTTCAATATGGTTAAGGGTTTAGGGTTTACAGTCCCCCTCAAGTAGATAGAATATGGCTTTGGGTATATTATACCAAGATCCCCATATACCCCATTCTATCTACTTGAGGGGGACTATAATGTTTCAGGGCTTGAGGGTCGAGATGGGGTCCCGAGTATCTCAGATACTGTATATTACCCCAAGATAACCCTATATAATAAAGCAGCTTCCATCTTATTTTCCATTATCCCTATATATGTTCTGGTCTGGACCATGAACCTCCCAGCAATGGGCTCCCTAACCTACGCGCTGAACCCTTTACAGCCTACACAAAAAGAATGGAAAGGAAAGTTGGGACACCTATATGGTAGCTTGCAGGGTCTTTGTTGTGCATATTAACCTACTGTTACTTCCATGTTCCTTCCACTCCTGCATTCCCATATGGTAGATTCCATGTTCCTTCCGTCGGTTGCACCATTGATACTTCAGTGAACCCAATACCCTAAAACCCTGTGAAGCTCGACGGGCTGCGTTCAGCTCGAACCACTCGAAGTTAGCCGGGCAAAGTCCAAGGCAGTCGAGAGCATCAATCGTTGACATCTCCTGTCCCAGATTTGGGGTTGTGGCCTTTGGGACCTAAGAAAATGCGGGACGACCCCTGAGACAAGCCTGCCCCCTAAACAAAGAGTAAGTCTATGGTGGGCAGCCTTAACATGCCTTGAAAATGCAGCGACTAAGGCTTCTGAGGTTGGAAGATGTTGCTCGCACCTGGCTTTAAGTTGACGGGCCAGGCGCACAAAGATCCCTCAACCCAACAACGTTGTGCTATTTACATGGTGCTAACGGTGCTAACCCAAGTGGCGGGAGACTGCAAATCATGAACGCCCTTGAAACACTCCTGAATCTGTCTTGCGGAGACTCTTGAACGGATTTTATCAAACATTTGAGCGTTGACCTGTCACTTCCCCAAACAACTCTAGAAGAAGAGCTTGATAAGAACAAGTCTGGATGTAAATGATGTAGTTGGGGCAGCAAGCTTAGCATGCCACATCCTGCAAGCATGAGAGAATTTCAAATTGAACTATAACAACATGACTACTTCTTTTTTATCACGGACTACATTCGTGAAGAGTGTGGTCACTACCAATACCACAAACCTAGACGCAATGTATAAACACCTGTAGGCACACATATAAAAATATATATATATGTATACACACAGAGACATAAATACATCTATAGATACAGATGTGTATAAATGTATATATGCATATACACGTGTGTGTATGTATGTATGTATGTATGTATGCATGCATGCATGTATGTATGTATGTATGTATGTGTATATATATATATGTGTACAGATTTTGGGCAGTCCTCCACCACCTTCTCGCCTTCTTTCTGGGGCAGCTGCCTCCAGGTCTTTACAATACAACAAAGCGAGGGTTTGCTGCACGTCCATTATCAGAATCGTGACCACTGCGATATGGACGTTTCCCAAAATAGGGGGGTACCTTTTGAGGGTGTCCTTATCAAAAGGACTTTAGTATATTGGGATCTGTATTGGGGTCCCCCTTTTTTGGAAACTACCATATTCATACTGATGATGAGCACCAAGCAGCATCGTCATACCAAGTTGAGATGAAGATGCTCATGTTCAGGATAAGCACATGCATAGCAATGACGACAAGAGCAATAGCAGGAAAATGACGAAGTCCGAGGTGCGGAGAAACAAATACTACACGTGATCCCCGTCTAACATGGAACTGCAGATTTGGCGGGGATGAAGGTAGCTGTTGACTCTCCGCATCCTTGCTTGCAGCTATATAACCCAAGTCCAGTTCCTCAAACTGAGTTCCCTACACATCGCGGATCGAAGGGGACTGAGGCCGAGGTTATTGGGGGGGGTGTGGTAAGTTTGCCATGTTTGCCCTGGAGCACGATGAAGGTCACCCTGTTCTTCCTGTACTTGTACGCAACCCGAGGCCTTGAGCCCCAAACCCCCAAAGCGTCAACATTCGACCCCAAACCCTGAACCATTTTCACCTGGGGCTATCAAAGCCCAAACCCTGAATCTTCTTGTGGAGGACGAAACAATTACAAACACAGCTCCCGAATAATCGGAACACAACTACAGCATACTAGTGGACCCTACAGCCCTATTCTACTGCCACTTATCTGGGCTCCTACAAAGCCCTCCAACCCCTTTGTAAGCCATGCTTCTGTTTTATTATCCATCTCATCCTCTATTTGATTCTGCAGTGTTTTCATTGAACAGGCCGGTAGATTAGATGCGGCTCGGGCGCTCTTCTTCCTTGACTTCCTCTTTGGGCCTCTCACGGTTCTTGCCCTTGGCCATAGCCTTGGCGACGGCCTTGGCGGGAGGAGGTACTTGGGACTGGTGGGAATTAAGGGCTTCAAGGCTAACGAGTTTGGGGCTGTAGGGTTTGGGTGGGATCAATCACATGCTCGAGGTCCCCTCCCCTTGCAAAAACATGGCCCTGGTAGTCCCATGGCTTAGGGCGAAGGTTCTTGTGAAGGGTATGGTGAGGGACCTACGAGTCCGTTCTTACAAGAATTGACGAATCCAGGTCCCGGCCTTTACGTGGTCGTCCCGCGTGGGCGCCGACCCGCCAGTGTCGCCAGGGAGATCCTCGTCCAGCATGTCGTCACCTTTCATGGCCTTGGCTGCAGGGACTTGGCACAGTTTTGGTTTTCGGGTCACAGGAGAAGAGTGGAATATTTTGAGTTAGGGTTTGGGGATAAGGGTCTTATGGTTGAGGGTTACAGGGCTTGGGCCACAGGGTTTGTGGGTTGAGGGATTTACGACTCCTGAAATAGCAAATCCTGGTCGAAAACCGAAAACCATTCTGTTCAATCCGCGCTGAGGCCGAAGCACGTGACGGACGTGCGCTGGCCCCTTTGGAGTCCTTGGGAAGCCTAAACTCTAAAATCCAGGACGCTAGACCAAAACTCCCTAGAACCCTGAACCTCTTCAAATTCCTCAAAGCCCCCATACAACTTCAACTAAGGCCCTGGCGCTCTCAACGCCTTTCAGTAGCTCTGCAGCCATCTCACGGGCCAGTGAGCCCACTGCCTCCTCTGAAGCGTGGATTCAGTTTGGGGCGAGGGTCTCTTGCTGAGGTTTTAGAGGTTAAGGTTTAGGTTTTGGGTTTGTGCTAGAGGTTAGGGTTCAGGCACTCTGTACACTGGTTTAAGGTATAGGGTTCAGAGCCACCTGCTTCAATAATCATGGGCTTTGAGCTTACAAAAAAGGTAAGCTTTAAGATTCAAAACACATTCGACTAGCAATAATTGGTGTCAACATTGTATATGCACCCTGAAAATCTCCTCTGATCTTGTTTGCACGAAGGACTGCAGAAAAATACGCCCCGAAATTTGAAAGGCTTAGGGGCTTCTACACTTGCACACAGCATGTCTGCCTAAGGTTTGGCGTTGGCCAGGTAGCGCCCAGACATGAAAGCAGACAACTGTACCGGAACAAGTTCAGGTTTAGTCCAGGATCGAAGATTTAGCTTGAGGGCTGCGGGCCACAAGACTGAGAACTGCGAAGGGCCCAAACTAGACCGACAACTGAGCTTTTCCCAAAATATCGCTCCCCTTTTTCAACACCCCCCAAAAAACATTAGATCTCAACCCGACACCTTAGACCCTAAAGCCTCAACCCTAGACCCTGAAGAAGGACTCCACCACTTCCTGCCACGGGGGTCGACCTCGCTTGGGAGGTCGATTGCGCTGCGTCTCCTAGGATACATGAGAAATCAGAGGTACCTCTTTGGGCGTCCTCCAGAATAATGGTAATAGTATTGCGGGGTCTGTATTGGGATCCCCATGCTTATGGCAACTACCACTTGGATTCAGGGCTTAAGGGGGTTTAAGGGTCTATTGCTTTTGGGTGGCTTAAGGCTTATGGGGTATAACTCCTGCTTGCAGGGCCACGCAAGGCTACAAGCTTTTGTAGAAATTGAATGTGATTACCACAAGAGTCAGCCCAAAGAAGGCCGTCTTGGATTCTAAGCCTAAACCCTAAACCCTAAACCTGGTCCCTCTTGTGGCAGGTATGGAGGATGATGCTACTGTTGGGGAATCTGGAGGGTAGTCTGGGCGGCAAGAACAAGAATTCCAGCTCTCCCCAGCCCTAAATAAACGTGACTTGCTTCGTGTGATAACGAGCCATCATCTGAGAATAAAACAAGCCATGTTGCATGCCAAACCACCTAGCAATCCTTACAACAGCTCTACAACCCCCGGATACACGGATAGTGAAGCTGCCTCTGCGCCACATTTACTTTCAATATCGGCCTGCAGTTGCCTGCCCGATTCAATCCTGCTCGAAAAAGGATCCCTTTTGCAGGTCCTTTTGATTTAGCTACAGTTACGACAAGCTAAATGGCCTCTAAATTAGGGATGGGCAAATCCTGAAAATGAACTTCAAATCTTTGCGCACAAAGCCTGTGCCGCTTCTGCTGGGCCTACTTTCCCTCGGCTCCAAAAATACTGGTTAAGTGTACGAATATCACACACCTAGACCCCAACACCTACGGCTAACTACCCAAGGACTCCCTCAACTATTCCGAAAATGGACCCCCCCCTCCCCCTGAAAAAATGATCATGTAGGGGAAACGTGCGGATTATTGGGAGATTCCATCTTTGGGATCCTTTAGGGGCCTCCTGGGCATCTACCATCCTGATGGTCCCAGTCTCTGGAGAAGCCGCCTCACCTCAGCACTAAACCCTACCCGGGGAGTCAGGGGGAAGTTCATAGGTATACCTATAACCCCTTTTCCATTCCTTGATTCCCGACTAACAACCAGCAATTTTGAGGGGGCTTGTTCTTGATTCAAACCCCACAGGCTGTCTTTTGGAGGGTCAGGGAGACCATTAAATGGGGCATGAAGGGGCAACATGGGATCATCATATAGCTTATAGAGCTTAAAAGCATACTTACTAAGTTTCCCTGACCCTCCAAGCAGGAAGCCAAACACGTTCAAGTTCCAAAGGTGCTTCGAGCGCTAACTGCTGAAAGGTGGGTTTTAAGCCCTTAACCCCTTAACCCTTAAATTAGATGTGAGCATATATAATCTAAACCAGTATCCCCCTTCATGAGCCCTATAATACTTCCCTACATAATCCCCTATAAAACAACCTTAAGGAGTTTAGAAAGCAACACATGTGGTTTTGCGGCTGAGGCTGGTCTGGTTTGCACTGCACTTTCCCTTGGAGCAGAACAGCCTCGTAAGCTTAGGCAACGAGATTTGGGAGTTTCCCTGAATTGGGGGTACCTTCTTGGGGCCCCAAAGAGAAGACTATAGTATTTGGGGTCCACATTGGTTCGGGCTGTGGCTCACCTTCCGCTTCAACACGCAGACTTGCATGTTTCCCAAGTCCAAGCCAGCTCCGGTTTTGAACGGTCCCAATCACTCAAAGTTCCCTGGAAACCTGGCACAAAAAAAATAAAAAGTTTCAGCTAGTCCCTCCAAACACGTCAAGGAGATTTCGAAAAGCCAAGGCAATCACGGTTCGCAGCCTCCGCGTTCGGCCGCCCCTGCCGGCCCTCTTCACCGGCCATGCCAATGAGGAAGTCCTCTGGAAGCCTTTCAGATACTGGGGTCCAGGCTGGAGGCTTGCCAGGTATGAAGCATCCCGAGCAGGATGTGCAGAACACTCTCACCATACTCCCATCTCAGATTCGACCATCTTTGAGTGTAGGGCTCTGCTGCTATCGAAACAGCTCTGTTTCCTTCCTTCCTTGGTCTTACCTCACATGCATTCAGCAAGCGTTAGTCAAGGTACGTGTCTCGCTCTGTCGTATCGCTTCCACATCAGGCCCCGAAAGCCTACTGCCAAATGTAGTTGCAAAATTCTCCCGGCCACCCCACAAGGATGTTGTTCATGATTGGATCCTTTGTAATTATCTTTGGTATATCGGAGGGCACCCTCTCTGCAAAATACTACAGGGGCCTAAATAATTACCAATATCATTTTGACGTCCCTTTGAGGTACCATCTACTATAATTATACAAGGAATGTGGAACCATAATAGTGGTAATATGTGGTAATCATCTAGGCACCTATAGTACCCCCAATGCACGCGGGCTGCAGCTGTCGGCAAGCCGTGCCACCGACGGCAAGCTGCGATGTTGGGTCTCCCAACCTGAGATGCAGCTTGCAGAGGTTTAGGGTCTAGGTTTTTGGGTTTAAGGTTTAGGGCTTAGAATTTTGGGGCTTAGGGCTTAAGGTTTAGGGTTGGGTTTCATGGGAGTGTAAAGGGATAAGGGCAGCTTGCAGAGGTTATATTGGGATTACGGAAAATAAGATGAAATCTACTGTAACATTGGGGTTATATGGGGGCTATATGGGGACTATTTAGGGTTCAGGGGTTTAGGTTTTTGGGTAGAGGTTTGGCCCCTTTCGGGACATCTAGGAGATCTCTAGGGTTGATATTGGAGTTTTATTGGGATAATGGAAAAGAAAATGGATACTACGATGTTAAAAAATGTTTTTGGGTTTAAAGTTTAAGATTTAGGGCAGCTTAGGGTTTAGAACTTTGGGGTTTAGGGTTCAGGGCGGGTTTCATGGGAGTGTAAAGGTATAAGCGTAATTAGCGGATTTGGGGGCGGGGTTCGGATTGGATGGATTTGGCAGGAGGGAAACTCCCGAAATCATCTGTCTATCCTTCCTAGAGACTTACATTGACCCGAAAACAACCCCTGGATTGCCCACTTGTGCTTGTGTTCAATACCTCAAGTACAATAGCACCATATTATGTTTAGTGCTCATGCAAGTCTCCATCTTAAGCATTTGGAATTTGGAAAGTCTATATGACCTCGAAAAGAAATTCTCGTGCCAAATCAGCCTCAGGCACCGCGTGGCCAAGCGGCGGAAAGCTCTCTCTGCGAGGGTGACGGCAAGTCCTGACAACAGTCTGGGCTTGAGGATTCTCATGCTTTGCGACTTCACTAATTAGTTTGCGCAGTAGGTCATGGCACAGAAGCCTGAACTCCTCCCTCTACAATGTACAATACATCCCGCACCTTCCAATCATGCATGTTCATATTTCTCAATACAATGCTCGCTTTGGTTGGCGCAAATCTCGATCTCGATCGGAGCGGCTTTATGGCTTGGAAGGGTGCTATGAACTCATCTCCAAACTCAATATCTGACCCATATGAGCTGAAGTCTAGACTCCTTAGAGGGGGTTATATCGAGGAGTATATAGGGGTTACTAAGGAGGATAGTAGGAGTTTAGATTGTGGCTCATATGAACCTAGACAAAAAAGCCACCAAGCCCATGCCCACCCGGTCCTCCGTTGTGCTGGGAGATCTCCGCTCCATGCCTAGAATTGATGCGGCATCGCGACAAAAAACAAGCTGCTGTCAGACGTCTTCGGTCTTCACCAGGGATCCGAAGAAGATTCCCTACTGCAGTGCTGAAACACCGCCTCTTGAATAAGGGGACGTCAGGACCCCTCGCAAGAAACCACGAAACCAGCCGCAAGAAACTTGAGGAGTCCATTCCCCAGTCAACTGAGAGGGAGTCTGAGCTGCTGCTGCCGGATGTGGGTAGCCAAGGACCCCCGGAGGCCGGGCGCGAACGAAAGGTTGAAACGATCTTGCGCCGCATGTTCGCCTTGCATTAGGATTTAGGGCGTGGTTTAACATCACCCTTTTTCTGCATGTGGGATTTAGGGCTAAGGGCTTCGGGTTTTGGACTTGGGGATCAGGGTTTGGGGTCTTGGGCTTGGGCTTATGCTGTGGAACCTTAGGGTCGCGGGTTTATGCTCCAAAGCGTAATTCGTGCTTGAAAGCACCCACCTTTTTGTGGCAGCTTTCCGGAACGTAGGGATGCGGAAATCTGCAGGAACTGCTCAACAAGAAGCGTTGCAAAAGGGATTCCAGTTTCCTTGTAAACTTCTGATTCGGGATCATAGTTGTAGCCTCCGGCCAGGGTTGAATGAATTCTGGTCGCACGGTGCGAGCATTTTTTGAGCTGCCACTTGTGTTGCACGGGGCGCTTGGTTTAGGGCACAGGGCTCATCGCGACAAGAGCTTGAACTGTCCCAGCCGTAGTAAGATTCAATGTACCAAGTGCAAATCATGTGTGACGTCTGGCTCAATCTTTGTTCCAACAAATTACCTTTGTCATCCTTTGTCTCTGATTAACTGGCTCTGTTGAAGGGAATAACGCGCATTTGTGCGTCTTTTGTTGAGGCTGGGCCCCTTTCCCCCTCGCGCTTTGTGGTCTTTTGTTGTCTCCTCTGTTCTACAGGGGAGCGATTCCTACAAATCAATACTGCGAACCTTCCCATCTGATCACTCCTCAGGGCAGCCCCGCGTTTGGGAAGGTAGTGAGGCTCTTTGAGGCCAGCCTACGCGTGATTCGGGAAATGGCCTCCTTGAGCAGCAATACTCCTGTTTCCATCGAGTGTAAGTATGCACTTAACCAAGTCTAAACCTTGGTTGGCGTTTGGAACCCATTGAAAAATATTAGTATATAGGGTCCTCATGAAACCAGTTAGTGAAAATATTTAAGCATCCCAAAGGCCAACCCAGAAACTCTAAAACAAGCAACCATGCTCTGCTTCTTGGCATGTTGCAAATCTCCGCCAACTCTTCAGCACTGTAGTCCTCCAGTTGCAGGACTAATGAAAAGCGACGTCGCAGACCAGGGTCTGAATCCATGAGCACCTGAGTGGCATTCTTTTGTGGCTGAACCTATGGAATCTAATGTTGTGTGATAGCCTGCTTCAAACATAATCTTTGTCTACATTCGGGACTGGGGACTACGGTATTTCCAAACAAAACACTACTTACCTTTGCGGCAAACTAGCACCCATGCTAGGCCATCTCTAAAAATCCAACTTTCTTCCCCAGCTGGTTCTGAAGAGCATGCTTGACAGGGATTAAATTAATTTGCACTGCCTCTGCAGTTGCTACGATGGGCAGCAACCCAAATAGTAGCTTGAGGAACACTAGCCAGCAACAGGGAATCATCCGATATAGGGGCGTATTTCATCCGAGCACTTGATTTATGAAAGGGTCTATTTTTTAAAATTACTTCGGCAAAATTAGGCTTCAAAGACTAGCTACAATTACGTAAGCGGCTCTTCGTACGGGGAAGATGGACCACATTCAAAGACATGTTCTGGGGGACCAATCCTGATACTAGATATATTCAATACACTAATAGAACTCCAAGAGCCCCAATGACGCAGGAATGCATTCCTATTCTTTTTTAAATGAGTTCCAGGAGCCCCAATCATTCCTTTACTCTGGCGCCCTCCATTCCATATTCTGGGGGGGGGTCCCCCGCAAATTAATCAAGTCCTAGGATTAGGGGGGTACTGGGAGTTTAGACTATAGCTCGTATCGGCCCACGGACAACACAACTGAGCTTCCGACGTCCATCTTGTCGGCGTACCCAGCAAGAACTACCTGAGCACCGCTTCATCCACAGCGGTTAACCCTAAACCCTAAACCCTTGCGGCAGCTTGGAGGTTGGTGGGCGTCGCCAGCTATCCCGGTGTCCTGCTGAGACACGTTGCAGAAATTAATCCCCTTGCCCTAATATCAAACCGCCCACCCCCTCCCCCCAATAAAATACTCCCTTCGTGGTATATTATAGTTTCTTGGGAATATTCGACTCAGGTAGGATTTGAGCCCTATACTATTTCTTATGGCTTTCTGTGGATTATGTAGGGATTAAGGGCAAATGCTCAAGCCTACCCCTGACTAGGGATTACGGGGGTGGATTTAGGGTTTAGGGTGTGGGTTTGATTTTCGTTCCAGTCTAGACTCCTAGTATCCCACTAGCAGTCTCCTATATAATCCCCTGTATAACCCCCCTTTTAGGAGTTTCTTGCGCACAGTTTGCTGATTTTGCAGCTTTCCTGTAATTAGGGTGTACCTTTTTAGGGGTCTTCATATGGAGGAAACTACCATTGAGCCCTCTGTTTATGGGTGGGTACCTTTCTAGGGGTCTCCATGGGTCTCCATAAGAAGGATGGTAGTATTTTGGGGTCTATATCTGGCTCCCCCTATTTTGGGAAACTACCATTTAGCTCTCTGGTTACATGTCACGTGCGCACCCCTCATTGTAGCTTAGCGAGTCACCGGGGCAAAGAAAACAATCAAGAACCCTTGACACCATGCTTGCCAACAAAAAGTGAAAACCATGCTTTGGCATGGCAAAGCTACAAGTAGCCCCGTGCGATGGTTTTCCACCTCTGTGAGGAGGGTGCGGATGACTTCGCCGCTGAACTTGTCACCTCCGCGATCTGCCAAGGCATAGGCCTGCAGGCATTTGCCACAAAAACACAGTTCCCATAGTCAAGGTGCGATGAGTTTGGGGGAGTCAGGCTTACATGTCCCTCACTAAATACGTGAGCTCTCATCAGGTGCCAGCTGATGCAACTGCGCGTCTGGGCCTCGTCAATGAAAAGGCATCCACCCATGGCATCGCCTAACTGCTGAGGGAAAGATCAGCGCGTCTGATACTACAGCATGTTTGGACCTTATGGGGCTACCGGAAGTAGTGAGGGAAGTGGGGGATCTTGCAATAAGACTAGACCCCCTTGCAGAAATGCCAAGCAAGCCGCGCACAGCTTCTGCCACAGTGGGCGCTGTCTGCCCGACAAACTGTCCTACCGGAGCAGGGCATTTCAGGGTAGCATGCAAAGGCGTATAGGGGCTGTCCTTTCAAGGCCAAAGCATTCCGCTCGACGAAGGTGTCACGCGGAAGCACACCGTGGGCATAAAGGTAGCGGCCAATTAGGCGCGCAACAGTCGTCTTGCCCGTCCTTGTGGCATACAGTCTCTGTAGAAGATTTATACAACTCTAGCTCTGAATCTTGGTCCCGCACTACAGTGTGGCCACGAATACTTGAAGTTCTCATATTAGGCTTATGACCAAGGCTCCCGGGGTTTCCTGTCAGTCGCAGGTTGAGGCTCGTTTGCAGGACGCGCGGGTCTCCCCCGCGCTCAACAAACGCCACCGTGCGAGAGAGCTCGGCAAAGAAATCTTTGACGTTGGCCATGCCTACAGGAGAGCAGGGACTCTGAAAGAGGTACGCGTACTGACCTCAGTGTCGGGTGGGATAGTCACTCTCCAGAACTAGATGCATCTGAAGGCCTGCATGGTTGGATGCCAAATTGACACAGATTGTCCCCTCTCCCAAAAATCGATCCCGGAAATAGGTGGCATGCGAGAGTGACCCCCAGAACAAATGCCAATTACGAGCGGGCCCCAGTTTCCAGCACAGCTTCTGGCTCAACATTCACATGAGCAGCGTTTTTTTGGGGGGTTTAAACCCAGTAAGATTATATTCGTTATACAAAATACTATACCCCAAAAGGAAGACATAATCTTACTCTACATTGGGTATTATGGTATCCCCAAATAAAATACTACCCACATGGGCAAATGAAGATGCCTGTGAGGCGTTCAACCTCCTGCTGCACACGCTTGCGTAGCTCGGGGTCGCCCATCGTGGGTCGTTCTTCGATACCAAAATCCGCAGCGGTGAAGACGGCCACCTCCGCCTTCACATCCTGGATGCTTCTACCACCTCAGCCAGCCCCATAGCATATTATAGTATAGTATAGTATGTTATAGTATATTATAGCATATGACAGCATTTAAACGTATAGTTAAGGCCGCTGCGACATCAGAGTTTAAGCGAATTTGCACCGAGTTCGCTTTAGTGCAGTATGCAGGCGATGCGTTTTCTCTGGCTCCGTTGAACCGAGGTGCTCCGCTGACGCGACAGCGTGGGAGCATCTTGAGGGGAGCTCGGCGCAGCAGATGATCTGCCCGGCAGAGACATTTGAGCAAAGGCCTGAGAGCTTCGGGCTTATGAGTATGCTGGCTGTGCATTCCTACTTTAGTGAGATGCGAGTTGCGGTTGCTACCCAGGACTTGTTGAAGATGCTGTCTACTGATGCCACAACACACTCCAATTGACACCCAAACCATAACCCTTGCTGCCAAATTAGGCCCTGGGCCAGTAACATTCCCATACGACCGTAAACTTGCGGGGCAGCAGCAACAAAGCTCAAACATGTGGCGAAGCACATCCTTTCACTTCACAATCGTAGTTTTCATTTTCTTTTCCACTATCCCCATATAACCCCCATATAACCCCAACATAACCCCAATATAACCCCCAAAACCCCCAATAACACCCCAATTAGCAGTGACATGCCTGCTTCGGCTGAGGCCGCAACCTCTGGATACTTCGAGACGATGCGAACGATCTGCCTGTCCAAGGCCTTCTCCTGCAAAGCCGCAATATGTTAGAGTATACTATGGGGTCTTATGGTATGTTTTAATATAATGTTTTTGTGTATATTAAAGTATATTGTGGGGTCTTATGGTATATTATAATATAATGGTTTTTGTGTATATTAAAGTATATTATAATATGTTATGGTATATTTGTATATTATAGTATGTTATAGTATATTATGGGGTCTTGTGGTATATTAGAATATGTTATGGTATATTTGTGTATTATAGTATGTTATAGTATATTATGGGGTCTTATGGTATATTCTAAAATATTATGGTATATGTGTATATTACAGTGTATTATAGTATATTATGGCAAATTATAGATTTTAGACGATTATAGTAGATTGTTATGTCATCGTATTTCATAATATATTAATCTTGACATCAAGCTGGTCGCCGTCGCGCCCTATACAAGTGGAACTTCACAGGGCTTGGGCCCTCATGTGGAAGCCCGAACAGTATGCACCCAAGGCGCCGTCAGATTGACTGAAAGCCCCGCATTCTGCTGAGCAATGTCCTTGAGGGCAGTGGCATCTACAAGGTAAGTGCGGGTGTGCCAGATGGGAAGGTACAGAAACAGACAGGCTGACCGACAAGGACGTGTAACAGTTGCATGGCTTCCGTTTTTAGAATGTTTACAACAGTCAGTGGCTCTCAGAGTTCAAGCTGAATAGGCCCTCAGCGTTCAACACCGACCCTCCTAGTAATACACAGCATTTCAGGCCAAGATGTTTTTATCGGGGAACGGTCGGAAGTGATTGCCCTACTTTTACTGGTCCTAGCTTGACTCACCCCTCCATCAAAATTGTTCAGCAAACAATTGTTCTCGCGGTCCTAGCTTGATTCACCCCTCCATCCGATTCTGAAACCATTAGACGAGCGGCGCGCCAGTAGAAGTTCTCGATATGCTTCTCCAGCTTTTCCTTCAAGCCTGGCTCAAACTCCCGCTGGTGACGGTGCCTGAAGAGCGCACTGAAGCTTGAAGACTTTACGCTGCAGCTTCTGTAGGGTGGGGAATCAGGAGATCGTGGATTTTTTTGGCATCTAGGTGTTGCGGTCGTGCTCGTGGCTCAAGGTAGAGTAGCTGGTTGCACCTTCAGACACCTGTTTCTCCCAAGCCTGGTTTGAGTGCAGTGTGTTGTTGCGTCTTTGGTCTGCCTGTCAAGCCAGGCTTCCAAAAACTTGAAGACGAAGCATGTGCTTCAGGTTGTCGGCGAAGATATCAAAAGTTTCGGAAGTCATGGCTTCCTAATGATCATAATCATGCACCAGGACTGTGGCCTGTGCATGAATACCATTTTGCACAGGAGCCCCAAAACAGACCATAGCCTGAGTGCAACCTATGAGTGTAGCATCGTTTGGCAGGACACAGCTCATTTACTTACAACTTGCAACCTTATGCTGCATAAACAATGATATTTCGAAAAAGATTACAAAACGATGCTGGTTATCTATTGCTCGAGTGCAAAAGACATCAGATCGCTGGCAATGCGTGTCTAGGCAGGTTCGCACGATGCCTGACGGAGTTGCAGGATCATACAGAGGGGAGTATGCAAAGAGAGGGATACGTGCCTTGCGCAGGTCTCACAAATGTGGGCCAGCTCGCCAGGAGTGTAGTCGTCCAGGTGAAGGCGATTCGGAAACCGTCTGGCCAAGCCTTCCTTTCGTGGAAAAACACGTGGAAATTAGGTAAGTAATTAGGGCTGTATATGATTTTACAAGGACTGTAAGCTCTCAAGGCCTGAGTCATCAGAGCTTATCTTTCTTGCAGGCATGAGGTTTGCGTCCAGCATCGACACCAATTTGTGACCCAAGCGTCCTCAGCGCGCATCAATCTTCCCATCTTCTCCTGCGCTACACACAAGTCTTGTCACGCGTGCATCCGCAAGAATCTTGCCAGCTACATGCCAAGCAAGCCCCGCCAAGAAAACAAGGCTACACCATACCACCAACAGGCTTGCTTTTCATCGAGGCCTCTTAGCACTGTTCTGAATTTTCTCACTGCCTCAAGAGATCAAAACGTCCTGAACGAGGCTGCGATAATGCTTTCAGGACACACGGCACCCACTGGCCTTGTACCCAGCCAGCACTACCATCAGATTTGTGCGATGATTCTCGACTTCCGTGAGGAGTGTCCTGCCATGCATCATTCATTCAATCGTTCGCTTTCCAAGACTTGATCCCAATAAAGCATTGATGAGTAACAATTTATAGGCTTTGCACCGATGCTTTTTTTAGGAGACTACTCTTGCGTTCTCCTCCCGGAATCCATGACTGTAGGTCACATGAACATTTCCCAAGAGCAATGAGTACTCTTGGGACTTGCCTGCTGAGGATCCCACATATGTCCACGTACCAAGGACCCTAGTTTTGAGCAATAGTTGAGTAAGGCCTAGACGAAGGCTACGTTGCATACAGCAGAAACTCGCACAAGCCAATTGACGCAAACCCTTGCGCAGTGCCCAAGAAGCGCTATAAATGGCTTGATTTAACAAACCCTGGACAGCTATCTGAGTTCCACAACCCCACACCCTGCTGCCTGTGACGGTGTGCAGTTTTTTGTTCGGATGGCCTGAGGAACTGCATGGGAAACCCCTTCATTCGGAAATTGCTACACAATCGGCATTGCATTGTCAACCACACCTGCAAGCTGAAGGATCGCAACAACCTACCATCGTAGGGCGCTATCGTAGACACCATGCGCCAAGCTAAGCTCAGGGACATACTACACCCCGGAGCCCTCATAAGATGAAACCTAAATTTGCTAAATCCTGAATCCTAACCCTGAAATTACTAAACCCCGAACCCTGCCACTAAACCCTGGGCGCCAAACACTAGTCTGCTTAATCCTGCCTGAACCCTAAACCCTGATCCTTTTTCGCCTAAACCCTAAACCCTAAATACACTTTAATCCCTAAACCCTAATCCCCAAACCCTACACCCTCATCCCTAAACCTAAACCGTAAATAAGCCCTAATACCTAAACCCTAAATAAATCCTCATCCCTAAACCCTAATCCCTAAACCCTGGATAATCCCTAAACCCTAAACCCTAAATACATCCTAAGAAGCTCAAGGTCTCCTCAAGGCTTCCTGGGAAAAGGCATCTCCAGCTCCCCCAACCCCGGCTGCAGAGTCCATGAGTGCATAAGCTTCATCCTCAATGGAGACTTTGGGGTTTAGGATGAAGGGTTGGGGGGTTAGGGTTTTTTTTGGGAGGGGTTAGGGTTTAGGGTTTAGGATGAAGGGTTCAAGGTTTAGGGTTTAGGATGAAGGGCTTAGGCTCTTAAGGGTTTAAGTTTTTTAGAGTTCTTACCTAGAAAGCCAGAAGCCCACCAGTACAACCTGCTTCCCCCTTGATCTCAGACCCGTTAGCGGCCTCATACACCCCACAATCCCTCAACGTCCCCTGACCCTTCAGCCCGGCATCTAGGAGGTAAACTGATCATCTTGCACAAGCGCCAGAAACCCTATGCAACCCTTAATAGGACCGCTATAAACCTCCAGCCCTAGTGTCCAGGAAGAGGCAGCCGCCCATGGCTTCCTGAACTGCGGCTTTGACCCGCGGAGCGGTGCCGCCCATGAACTCCGCTTTTAACTCCAGGCCTCAAGTTTAAAGTTCAGAGTCTAGCGCCGAACGTCACACTCAGCAGGTTTGGCTTCAGTCTGATGCATGGAGTGGAGTGGGTTGTGATGTGCCGTTGAGGCAGCTGCATGTCTCAGGGTTTCGGAATTTCTTGACAGGCGGAAGAGCGTAGGGGCCCGGACAGTAGTGGTCTGGCTTTACCTGTGAACTTATTGAGTTTGCATCAGGCACCATGCTATGCCTTGGGTTGCAGATGGAGGCCTTGCAGGTAGAAGATTGGCCCTTGGGCTTGGTGGTTGGGGGCATAGGGCCCCCACTCACATCCTGCTCATCAGTGGTGCAACAAGCCACCGTTCTCAGCTAGAGACAGCATGGGATCATGAGGCTTATGAGGGCCCGGCCATTCTTCTCCACGAAGCTATCCTTGGGAAGCACTCCGTAGGTGTGGAAGAAACGCGCCAGCAAGCGCGCAAACGTCGTTTTGCCAGTGCCAGGGTTCCCAGTGATGATGATATTCCTGGGTCACAGTTGTGGCAATCTTAACCACGCCCTTGAATTCCCTTGGTCTCCCTGCTAGCTATCTGAACGTTTGATCCTAGAATGTCCCTCAGAGTGGTGCTCAGCATCTAGCTTGACATCCAATATCGTAATGTCATCTGCCGCCCCCTCAAAGACCAGTCCTTCACCGAAGTTAAAACAGCAGAATTTACGCAGCATCGATCCAAGTTGCAAAGCTTTTCAAAACAAAAACCACCGAAAGCTGATGCTGAAGTCTGCTGTATGTACCCTATACCATAACTACACCAAAACCTAGGAATTAGGAGTATTACCATGACCGGTGATTTGGCGTCTCTACACTACAATCCCTATAGACCAAGTCAGGTTCAATGATCTTTCCATGCGATTCTTCAGCCCTTATAAGCCCTATACCGAATTAATGGAGTTTTAAGTTCTACACTTTGAAATCATGACCCAGCGTCAGGCAAACGCGAAGGTCACTCCTGGTGCCTGTCTGCTCCACAAAAGCTACCTTCTGGCGCACCTGAGCAAACCATTCCTTGGTGGATCCACGTCTAGAGGTTGTTTGAACTTATTTAGTGTTCCGTCTTAACCCTAAATCCTAAACCGTGTGCTCTGGGAAAATGGGAGTCTGTCAGAAATTGCCGGCCACAATTTCTCAGCAGGCGGCTCCTACGGATTCAAGGGCCACAAGGGATTGTCCTAGCGTTCAGGGTTTAGGGTTTAGGCCCCTATGTTGCATGAAGCTCCTTTTCAGCAACTCCCACTTGACGGTTCAGGGCGTTGTCACTTTCTGGCCTCGGAGCAGTTGGAAACTAGAATGCCTAACGCTAAAAACCTAATCCCCTGAAGCCCCGATAAAAGGTATATAGACCCAAAACATTAGAATCCCCCAGAAAGGTATCCCCTAGTTTTGGAAAATCCTGAACCCTAAACCCTATGCATCCCCCTATGATACCATTATTGGGTACCCCTAGTATCCCCAGTTTTGGAAAACCCCCCAAACGAGGAGCCAAGAGTCCTTGGCCTTGGTCATCCCAACCAAATTGCTCACCTCCTCATCAATGGCATCTTTCTGCTCCTTGCCTTTGCTTACTGGTGTTTCGTGGGGAATAAAAGGGAATACAATCCTTATATAATCCCTGCATACTGTATTCCCTAATTTCCTACTTTTGGAGTGCGATTTCAAGTTGATACTTTTCTCCACCCAGCTTATCGGTTCATAGGTAAGGCGGAGCTCACCTCATCTCACACTTATTCGAGCAAATGAAGTCTGGGTAATGATACTTCGCAAGGCAGGGGGACCCTAAGAAAAGACTGCTAAAACATTGGGGGCCCTATACCCCCAATGTATAAAGTTCCTAGAAAAAGAACCCTAAACCCTACACCGTTTCAGCAGATCTGTGGCTGCCTTCGCCAATGGGAGCCCCTACTTCGAAGTCCTCGGTGGTCAGAAACTCGCTCTCCGGATTCTCCCCTGGTGTCTCACCCTCCTGGATCCTGTTGAAGAGCCTGCTGCGATGGATTGCGGGATTGCTGTTTAAGAACTTAAAATAAGTTACTGTACCATAATATGGGTACATAGTAAATCATGGGATGCCCTTGTTATAGGAACCTAAGTTAAGCTCCTTAGCAACCCAGATTGTGGGGGAGCTTTCACGGCTTGAAGGTTTTAGGGTTAGCTTGGGCTTGAGGATTCAGACCTGCGATTTTGTGCTTTTTATTTCCAGGGGTGCGTAGGTGTGGATTTTGAATTTAGGGTCTGGCATTCAATCTCAGCTCCATTCATGGTGGTGTTGTTGATGCAGAAACCTTTTCGTCCCCCCGCTGTCGTGCGACTATTGCAACCTCTACCATACATGACGCACAGTTCCTAAACTCCCAAGATGCCCCAACCAGTGGCTGCATCAACGCGTGATGCACGTTTGAATTTCAGATACAGCAAAAGCATTGGGAGTACAAAACCAACCAACAAGTCCTAAGTCTTTTAGGTGGACCCCCCACCCGGAAATAGTGGCTGTAAGGGATAATAAGGGCTAGATTAGGGTCCTATCATACTCCTAGTATACCACTATCACAGGGTGGGGGGTCCTCCTAATGAGTCTTTCTCAAAGAAGGGATCTCTTGCCTGAGTAACTACCCACGATGAAGTATACCTTAAACCTTAACCCTCAACGTTGAACCTCAAATTTCCTCAAACCTAAAACTGGGTTCCTGAATGCTGGAATTAACTCAAACACTGCTCGCTAAACCCGAAACCAAAACATGATCCCAAAGTTTCTCAAAACTATCGCTACAGAATCTCGCAAGAGGACTCCCCATAATTAAAATCTTTGTAATCGCTGCACATCCCCTTTTTCAAGCCTTCCCTAAACCCTAAACCCCCATCCCCCCACCCTAGACCCTAAACCCCAGTCCCTAAACACGAACACCCCAAACCCTCAACCCCAAAACCGTAAGGCTTAAACCCTAATCCCCAAACCCTACATCCTAAACCCTAAACCTTAAAACCTAAACCCTAAATTCCTAAACCCTAAACCCCTAAACCCTAAACCCTAAACCCCTAACCCCTAAACCCTAAACCCTAAACCCCTAAACCCTTAACCCCTGTATCCTAATCCCCAAACCCCTTAAACCCCAAACCGCTGACCTGGTGATCCGGTTCTGCACCGCCCGCTGCAGCAGTCGTCTTGCCAAGGCAAGGTTTCCTCGCTCCCCAAGCTCCTCCAAAAAAATAGGGTTTAGGGGTTAGGGGTTTAGGGTTTAGGGATTTAGGGTTTAGAGGTTTAGGGATTTAGGGATTTAGGGTTTAGGGGTTTAGGGATTTAGGGATTTAGGGTTTAGGGTTTAGGGATTTAGGGTTTAGGGGTTAGGGGTTTAGGGATTTAGAGATTTAGGGTTTAGGGGTTTAGGGATTTAGGGATTTAGCGTTTAGGGTTTAAGGTTTAGGGTTTAGGGTTTAGGGGTTTAGGGATTTAGGGATTTAGGGTTGAGCGTTTAGGGTTAGGGTTTGAGGATTAGGGGTTGAGGGTACAGGGGAGAGATATAGGGGTTAGGGTTATAGGTGATAGGGCCTATATCGGGGATATATGGGTATAGTGGAAAAGAAAAAGGAAACTACTTTTTAGGGTTTAGGGTTTAGGATGATCTTCTGGCATCTTTCGAAAAACGACTTAAATAGGAATGATACTAAAACCCCTGCATGACCTGCGCATGACGTCATACCATAATTCCCAAGGCATAGCTTGGCAGCATGCAGGCCTTTTTAGCATCCACCGGAGGAGTCCCACAGGGCTTGGTGCCGCGTTTGCCCTGGGTCACAACTGTTGATACTCAAAATCCTGCACGACCTGAGTACACTCACTCACTCACACACACTCTCTCTCTCGCTCTCATGTACTCAGGGGTCCTGTCAGACGCTCAACCCTGTCAGCACCAGAGAAACAAAAAGGATGGCAACAACTACAACACATCCGCCACGAGTTGAAGCCCTGCCTTATAGCAGGCATGAAGGATGCTGGCGCCATGATTCCCCAAGTATGAGGTACTTAGGATCACGCGCAGAATCTCGTGTCCACCGCAATGTTTGGTCTGTTTAAAGATGGGGTTCGGCGGCTTGGAAACGCAAGAGGGTCTAGGGTTAAGGTCCTGAAGCCGTACCTGGAGGGTCAAGGGGACCTAGCAATAGGTGAGTAATATGCATAGTCGGGCTAATTCTCGAGCATTTTGGAATCACAAATGAACTTGCGAAGTCCTCCACGCATGGCTCCCAAAACTAGGGGTGCTTGTAAGTGTGATACGGCGCATATACAGCCACCTCTTCTGTATAAGCTGAGGGTACGTACGGATTAGGGTTGAAGGTTTATGGCTTCCAAAGGTAAGGGTGCTATGCTGGGAGCCATTAGCACAAACCATGAAAATTATGAAAACCATAACCTATTATCCCTAAACCCTAAACTCTGTTCATAACATGTTTGAAACATGTCAGCGGCCCGTATTTTTTGGGGCGTCAGCGTTTTACTTCGCGAGGTCTTATTGTTGTTTGGGTTCCTGTAGCATCTACGCGCTAAATCTTGGTTTCCAGAAATATGATGGTAGGCCGCGGCCTCGGGGCCCCTGAATTCAAGAAGAATCCCCTCACCCCTGAAATCACCCCAGATCCACTAATAATGAAAGTATTCACCTTAGCATATAACGGTATTGTACTGTGAGTTTTCATTAGGGGGTTGGGGCGGGTTATTCTTTGGGAGGGGATTGAAACCAATTCATGTCAGTTCTCAATATGGAGCAGCGCATCCTTTTATCTAACACTTCATGCAACTTTATGAAACTCACAGGGCCCAGTCCTTGCCCTGGCCGCCGCCTGCAAAGGGTTTAGGGACAAGGGTGCGGCAGGACCATTTTCGGGGAATTCAATACTCCAAGGTCGATATCTAGAGCAGCAGTTGCTGCTGCTGCTGCTGCTGCTGCCGCCGCTTTAGCAATCGCAGAGCACTAGCTGCAGCTGTGATTTTACCAAGATTGGCACTGGCATGTGCAAAAGCGAGATGATACGTAGTCACCGCAGCGGGTGAGCAGCAAGCATAGCAGGAACAAACGTAGTAGCAGCAGCGGTTCCAATATCAACACAGGCAATACACAACAAGTATTTGTCTTGCTAGGAGTAGTCATGGTGGTCGTCGTAGTAGTAGTAGTAGTAGCAGCTGTAGTAGCTCAACATACTACTTGTCGCAGTACCACCTCCGTACACCTCGTTGATGTGTTCCGCAAGCCGCGAGGCAAGTCGCTCCTCAAAAGCCAAGGCTCCTTGGTGCCAGAACGTTATGGCCTCCAGTTAATCCAACCCCCAAAGGTCTTCATGGAGGAATGAAAAAGAAAATGAATCTACTTCGTTATTCAGGATTCGGGGTTTAGGGGGTAACCCTTTGAATAAGGAATGGTCGTTTCCCTACATAGGGGTACCCCAATATAGACCCCAACATACTGAAATTCTTCTGTTGGAAGTGAGTGAATACAGGACTTAAAAATCAAAAACAGTAGAACCCCCCGAATCTTTGCAGCACTCACAACGTGCAACAACGCCATGAGCCTACCATAGCCCAACCTGATGTAGTCATGCGCCCATGAGATGATTGATGAAGATGCCCACTTCCCCTCAAACCCTTTTGGTAGACCTACCCTCCAGAAAACAAAGTCAGGAATTCAGATCAACTAACCGAGTGTAGGAGCCCTTTCTCAGCTTCTTTTCAGGCTGCATGTTTGGTGCAAGGTCTACAACCACTGCCGTCTCATGCGGTCCACTTCAAAACTACCATTTCAGATAAGATCCCTATAGTCCTTCTAAATAGCCCCTTGGCATGTTTGGTGTCTCACTGATCTACCCCTCTTTTGAGAACACCACTGGAACCATAAACCCTACACTGTTACACCCTTTTTTGAGCTGAGGCCCGCACAAGAGCAATTAGCTCAGCCAGCACCCTAAGCCCTAAACGCTAAACCCCAACCTGAACCCAAGCCTAGGTTCCTGAAGGAAGGCCCCCAGCGGTATACTCAATGAACCTGGGCAGGGATAGCGCGCATTTCAGTTCAGAGGTTCAGGGGTTCAGGGGTTCTTGGGTTCAGGGGTTCATTGTCCAGTGGTCCAGAGGATCAGGGATTCAGGGGTTTTAGGGGCTTGGGGTACAGGATTCCACTTGCAGTTCAGCATGGCACGTTTAGTTGCCAGAGAAGTGAAAGCATGACTACAAAGGCCTGTAATGATTATAATTATGCCTGGTCCACACTAGTCGGTGGTCAGCCAAATCCACACTCAAGTTTTTGGACCCATACAGAAAAGATTACCAGCATATTACAACCATAGCAGCAGCCACAGTACCAGCACTGGCACGAGCACTGGCGCTTGCAGGGTTGAGCGGCATTCAGCTAGAAACCCTCAACCCTGAACCCTATACCCTAAACCCTAAACCCTGAGAGGGTCAACATTGACCAAGGCACTGAACAAGCTCCACGGCTGTGAAGTCTGGGATTGCCACGTGCGTGGGGAAACGGGCCTCTCCAACTGGCGACTGGAAGATGATGCAGGTGTATGTATGAAACCTGACGCCCCCAGCAATAGAAATCATACAACGCCAACCTCACTAGGCCGCTAAGCCCTAACTTCTCCATATCTCCAAGTCCCCGGTGCGGACCATTACAAGCCCCTGTAGCAGGGACCCTAAACCCTAAACCTCCCGAATTCTACCTCGAAGGAAGATGCCCCAAATCCTCCGTGTCCCCAAGTCCCAGAACAAACGTTTTCCAGAAAACGCTAATTTCTGCCCGATTCTACCCCAAAACAAACGTTTCCGGAAAACTTTAGTTTCTGCCCATGAAACAAATGTTTCCAAAGTTTCTGAATTAGTTTGTTTCCGCCCCCCCCCCCCCGCCCCGCCCACGCCCTCCCTCTCCCGCTCCACCCCTGGCAGGTTTCGAAAAAAACGTTTCGAGTGCGGAAAAAACTTGTCAGCCTAAAGTTAGTTTCCCTTTGAAAACAAACCTTTTTGCCTCCGCGATTTGTCTCACTCACAAGCCCTAGACCCCCACTAAAGCTTTACCCCAAAAAACGAAACCCCTAACCCTAAAACTTTAACTAATAAAACCCTAAATCTAGGGACTTTAGGAAGGACCCCTATTAGGGACCCTTAATCCCATTAACAGAAATAACCCCTATATAGTCATTACATCCCCCCTATATCCCTAGGTAGTCCCCATAATAACCCCCTTAAGCTACAAGGGTCCCTATTAGGGGTCCCTCCAAAAATCCTTAGGCTAAACCCCTAAACCCTGAACCTTTAACCCGTAAACCCTAAACCCCTAAACCTACACCCTAAAACTTTAACCCGTAAACCCTAAACCCCTAAACCCTAAAACTTTAACCGAAAAAACCCTAAACCCCCAAACCCTAAAACTTCCAACCATAAACCCTAAACCGGTAAACCCTGGAAACTACAGGATGGTTCAGCAGGTATTCGAAGCTAATCCCCGAGAACCTTTACATCATGTGGTTTTCAGCCCGGCCCTAAAGGATCGTATCCAGGCTACTGGATGTAGAAGAGGAGGAAAGATTCCTTATTGGGTCGAGACCACAACTCAGAAGCATTTCGGGGATATTTGGAACCGTTGCTCAAGTTCAGGCATACTAGGACCCAACCTAGTTTATGCAGAAATATCAAGATCTCTGAAGTGTATGCCCGAAGCTGCGCCAATGCGCGCAGATTCGCACGCACGGCCATAGCAAAAACCCTGGAAACCCTAGTAGGTGGCTAATTTCCATTTCATCTTCCATTTCCAGTTAGTTCTCCATTACAGGGAACCAAATCCAGCAAATCTCGCCTCAAGGGAAGGCTCCATCCTGGCAATCCTGGCCAGTCCCTGCTGCGTGCCCAGGATGATAAACCTAGGGTGTAGGGTTTAGGGTTTAGGGCAGGGGTGTGGGAGTTAATCCCCTCACCTAATATAAAACCACACACCCTCCTAATATCTCAGTATGTGGTATATTATAATTATAGTATATTGGGAGTATTTACTACATATTCGGGGGGTGGGGGGTTTAATACTAGGAGGGGATTATGTGAGGTAGATAAGGATCTATACAGGGGTTTGGGGCTATATAGGGATGTTTAAAGTAACGTCAAACGGGGAGTGTCGGGATATTTCGGGACTAGGGGCTCGGGATGTAATAAAGA